GAGGGGCTGGTCTTCGTCCGGCCGCATGGAAAAGGCACCATAGTCCGGATAGCCGCACGCGCACCAAGGGCTAGTACTTAGCTCCACAGTCAAACTCCTATGGCTAAGTGAAAGTAATAAAGCAGCATAGTCTGATTGCCTGGTTCGCCTCGTGGACACCTCCTTTATGGACCAAGACGTTGGATAAAGTGCGGTCACGCGTTATGCCGAACACCCCTGTAGCATCTACATGGGGGCTGAAACCGACGACTGGCAACTTTCAAAAATATAACAATAAACGGCCGCATAGGAGGAAATATTGCTTGAAACAAATGGCGTAAGCATAAATATATCACAACATGGGTTCATCACATAGTTTGTACAACCCGAACACACTTAATCAAGTATTACGTCCTTAGAACATTGGCCCTCTACTATTCGGGCCCCTTTTAGGATGTCGTCGAAGTACCTCTCCGGCTTCTGATGAACTTTGCCTTCGAGCGGACCTGCGGTTGCTACTTCGGTAGCCTTCATCTTCGTCCATTGCATCTTGATGCGGGCGAAGGCCATCCGAGTACCCTCTATGCATGCTTAGCGCTTTATAGCTTCAATCCGTGGGCGCATGTCAACAAGCCGCTTAACCAGGCCGAAGTAGCTGCTAGAAATAGGCTCGGTCGCCTAGAGTTGGACTATTAAGTCCTTCATGGCCCGGCCAGCCACCCTATGAAGCTCTGTCAGCTGCTTCAGCTGATCGTTCAGAAGTGGTGGGTATTCCGGCGGAAGATATTGCAACCAGAACATCTTCTCCATCGAGTCCCCCTCCTGGGCTCAGAAGAACTGTGCGGCATCGGCGACACTCTTCGGAAGATCTGCAAATGCGCCTGGAGAACTCCACACTCGTGTGAGCAAAGCGTACCTCTGACCCCAAAAGATACTTTGCAAAAGAAAGGCCTTACCAGCCGCTATCTGACTCGCTTGCTGGATCTCTTCGCAAGCGCTCCGGGACTCACTCCACGCCTCTTTGGCATCACGGAGAGCCTTGGCAAGCTCAGAGGAATGGGCCGAAGTCTTCGCCTCCAAAGTCTCGCACTTGCGGATGGCATCTTGCAGCTCTTGCTCGACTTCGGCCACCCAAGCTTCATGATGACGGCGGGCGACCTGCTTGGCCTCCAGTTCACAGCCACTTTATTAGTGGCTGCCTTGTTCACCTCCGCCTCTTTCTTGGCTTGGGTGAGGGTGCCTTTGAGGGTCTCGACTTCGGCTGCGGCTGCTGTAATCATCATCAAAGCATTCCATGAGCTAAACCACTGAATATATACTACTTCTAATATAAAAATGAATTCCCTTGTTAACCACTATACGTACACCTTGCATTTCTTCGAACCGCTTATTAATCCGGTCGATTTCATCATAAGCCACCTAAAGCTTCCGATTGAGTTCGGAAACTTCTATGGCCTAGGCGGTTGCCGCCAACAGGGAGGCCTGTCATAACAACACAGCATGTTACTCTCCCGAATACTATGTGGATCCTCTGTCCGGTTTCTTTCAAACCGGACAGAGCCTCAGGGGCTACGGTCTGTACACAGGTATATTCCTCTATATGAAAAGTTTTTCGAACATTACGTCACATACCTCAAAGCATGTCAGTAGGCTGTGGAAGGCTTCGCTCAGTCCGCTCTTAGCAGATTGAACCTTCTCCACTACCGCACCCATATCAGGGTGTGATGCTCCTCCATGATGGAAGCACGTTGCAGTGCTTCCTCCAGAGCGTTGGGCGCCTCCGGATTAGTGGAGGCCGCCGATGGAGCTAATGCTCCTCCCCCCTCTTTCTAAGGGGGTTGCTTATCCAATCCCGGAGCCACGTTGGTCTCCGGAATGGTGTTCGGCTGGGGGCCATATTGTTGGGGCTCCCCGCCGTCGGTGGTGATAGGGGTCGCCTCCCCTAGCTCTTCGATGATCGAGGTATTAACCTCGGGCGCCTTCTCGACGGCCTTGCTCCCCCCCCCCTAGTTAGGAGAGGTGCTTCGGGACGACACCTCGGTGTCCTCCATGGTGATAGGCGAGGGGGCTCGTGGCGGCATCTTGCTCTCTGCCATCTCGGGTGGCAGAGAGTTCCCCTCCGATAACGGAGTGTGCGGGAGCTCGCGGGGAGGGCTGAAAGGCACATAGCAAAATAACTTATATAACTAGCAGTGTGACCCGCGCATTTGCGCGGCTAGATCTATTAATATTTACTTTCTTTAGTAGATTAAATAAGGCATGATTTTCCATCTTTTGATTCCACGTTATCAAGTGCCTATCTTCTACTTATAATTTATGTTTGTATTACCATGACGGTTACTAATACTCTCAAAACTAAATCCTAACAATTGTAGTTCCTTCTCATATTTGAACCTAGAACCACATTTTTGCTGGTTGTATCGCCCTCCATATATCATGGCTTGAATTTCTTTCTAGGTAGCTAATCTTATTCTTATTGTCTATGTCCACTGACCATCGTTATAGGTATCTTTTATCTAAGGTTAGCAACACAATAAGTTTTTTCTCACTCGCTTTTTACCTTTTGCACTAATAAATGAATATTAAACACTTTACATGGTTTCTCTGTACAACAATTATTTACGAATACTCTCTCTACTAACACTTTCCCCGCTTTTCCTGTGCACTATCTCTCTATCACTACCATGATATCTTTAGCTAAGCAGCCATGCTAGCGGATCACTTCTTATGTTTTCTTACATCAGCAATGATAGCTTTGATGTATATCACATCTTGGGTATGAGCACGTGTAAGAAGTTGCCATTTTTTTTATATCTCCTAACCTGTACTCGTCTCCGAACTCGGATGGACTCTCAAGTTTTGCCAGTGTACTCCCCTAAAAAGAAAAGTTTTGTCCGTGTACTCCCCTAAAAGAAAAAAGTTTTGCCGTTGTACTTTCTTGAAACAAAAAAGTCTTGCCCGATGTAGTCACTCCTGAACACACATGGACTCTTTTTTTCCATGGACTGTCTTGCCGTGATTGGCTTGGCTTTTGTTAGGAACCGGAACTTATTACATGGCTTTTAGAGAACACATATGTAATTAGGCAAGGTAAAGCTTGTACGTGTCCTTTTCATGCAGATGACCGTGATTGCACTTTCCCATCGTAGACACATATACGTGACACACTTTTCAGGCGCAATACAATATATGTCTGTAGATGATTTTTGCATGTCTTCCAATCTCAGCCGTTTACATCAAAAACTTATGGTAGAGATAATTTAATCTGTGTGGAAAACCATGGTGCCTTATTTGACGCAGGTTGAACAGAGAAAATTAAAATATGCTAGAAAATATCACATAAAAGCGTATCTTGAGGAAAATATTTTTTAGACCTTTATTGGAGAAGATCATAGACATACTGTATATTAGATGTTCAAAAATATATCCAAACACTATATAACCGTTGATTTTTAATCAAATGGACATCAAGCGTAAAGGAAGTACACTTTTTTTGATTCGGCGCTTAATAACTCGTAGTTGACGTTGGTTTCGGTTCGATCAACTATCCTTTTTGAAGCGGATAGTTCACAGTGCTCATTCTCAAAAAAAGCGGAAAAGCCATGATGTTTCCACTCCATTTTCATTACGAAGATGTATTACATCAGGATCTATTGCTCAAACTGAATCACGCCAATGTTATGGAAGTTCCTGGATTGTTTGAAATAAGATTAGTACCAAAAGCTGCCTCTGATTTCAGAATCCAATTTGGAAAATTGGCTATGGAGATTTTGTGCGGTCAGATATTCATACAGACACAAAGGGGCCCCTATTTTCAAGCAGGAAAGTCATTTCGATCCAATCCATTCTTGGGGTCCGAAAAAGACACTGGATATGTCAGTGACTTTGCACGACAAAGCGTTCTCCGAGGGCATGGAATGTACCATTTTTTGGTCAGAATCTTTACAGTAATGTCTATGTTGGATTCTCCGGTCGAAATACGGGAAAACTCCATCAAATTCTTTATGGAGACGGAGTTTCGCGAATTCTCCCCGGAACTGGAAGATCATTTCGAGATCTTTGAGCATATTCGAGGGTTCAATGTGACTATTGTCACTTCGGCCAATACAAAAGATGAGACTTTACTACTGTGGAGCGGCTTTTTGCTAAAAGATGAGGGGGAAACTAAGTAAGATGCCGGAGAAGCAACGAAATATACGAGATCACAAACGTAGATTGCTCGCGGCTAAATATGAATTGAGACAAAAGCTTTCAAATTTTGTAACCCGATCTTCCGTCTGATATGCGGGACAAACATCGTTATAAGTTGTCCAAGTTGCCAAGAAAGAGTTCAATGGCACGAGTAAGAAACCGAGGTATTTTCACGGGTCGCCCTCGTTCCGCAGTTGATTTCTTTCGCATTTCTCGTATCATTTTTCGTGGATTAGCATCTCGAGGTTCTTTGATGGGCATAAAGAAATCGTCTTGGTAGCAACCGCCAAACCAATAGAACAAAGGTTAGCTCTGCAGCTAGTCCACAAGCCAGGGTTGTAGGTCCATTACTGTCCGGCTCCCGACCGAAACTAACGAAGTCATCCCAACTCTCGGATCGGAGATGCTAACGGGACAGGAATCGAAGTGGGGGACCTCTCTACTGCACCTGTCTCCCCAGACATAGACTACGTAAAGGGTAGTACTCTTGGAAAGAGAGAAGATCACCGCGTGAACAAAATCCAAAGTAACGAATGTCACTCCCGAGGGATCGACCACTATCATACATGAAATTTTGCATAGAATGATTGTTCATCTTCACGCCGGAGTGCTGAGGTTGTTCCCACCATTGAAGTCAGAGTCTGGGTGTGTTTTTCTTACTAATATGGAGAGGGTTCCGAATGATAAAGATCAATCAAAAACTTCTTCGTTTCGTTGGTAGAACCCACGCCAACTCTTTTCTCTTTTCTCTAAATAATAGAGAGATCTTTTGATAGTCTCACTTCTATCAATGCAATGAAAAAACTATCCCTTCCTATTTGTTTGTCCTAATGAGACAAAAAAGAGCCTCCTTCTTTACCACTTTAGGGGATGGGGTGAAGGGGGGTTTACATACAACTAAGGCAAAGTGGTTTATGATTGAATCTCAGAGGCATTCTTATCATTTGGTAGATCCAAGTCCATGGCCTATTTCGGGTTCACTCGGAGCTTTGGCAACCACTGTAGGAGGTGTGATGTACGTGCACTCATTTCAAGGGGGTGCAACACTTCTCAGTTTGGTTCTATTATTTATCCTTTATACCATGTTCGTATTGTGGCGGGATGTTCTACGTGAATCCATGTTGGAAGGGCATCATACAAAAGCTGTACAATTAGAACCTCGATATGGTTCTATTCTCTTCATAGTCTCAGAGGTTATGTTCCTTTTTGCTTTTTTGGGCTTCTTCTTTGGCACCTACGGTAGAGATCGGAGGTATTTGGCCCCCAAAACGGATTGGGGTTTTAGATCCTTGGGAAATCCCTCTTCTTAATACCCCTATTCTCCCTTCATCCAGAGCTGCCGTAACTTGGGCTCATCATGCTATACTCACGGGGAAGGAAAAACGAGCAGTTTGCGCTTTAGTAGCAACCATTACACTGGCTCTAGTATCCACTGGCTTTCAAGGAATGGAATATTACCAAGCACCCTCCACTATTTCGGATAGTATTTATGGTTCTACCTTTTTCTTAGCAACTGGCTTTCATGGTTTTCATGTGATTATAGGTACTCTTTTCTTGATGTATGTGGTATTCACCAATATCTTGGTCATCTGACCAAGAAGCATCAAGTTGGCTTTGAAGCAGCTGCATGGTACTGGCATTTTGTAGACGTGGTTCAGTTATTCCCATTTGTCTCTATCTATTGGTGGGGAGGTATATGAAAGAAGGGAACGAATAAGTGGATTGAGGAATAAAAGCTCGAAGACAAAGAGAACTTCTCCAGGTACTCAAGATATTGTGTTTAGAGAGGTGTAGATTGTAGATTCCAGCCGAGCCAGACCCAGGAAGAATACGAAGTCCAATTTCCTCAACCGCGCACACGGATAAGACGCGAGACAGTTTCTGAGGGATAGAAGTCTTGATCGGGCCAAGCCGGCATAACAGTTATTAGTTCGCATTACTTTCTCTTCCGAAGCGCGCACATTCTAGTTCAGTATGGATGCACTGAGCGCTTAAGACCACTCGCTGGATGATATGGTCAATCATACTCCAGAGTGGGGACAGCATAACAATAACATTCTCTCTTTAGATTCGAGATGTATTGATCGAGACGTGCCTCACTCTAGTGAGGATTTGAGCTCCCCGATAGACGTAGGGCCCGCTCGGTACGCTGTCATTGTTTAGGGGGTTCTTAATTCTAGCATGAAAGTCCGAGTTGGAGGAATGATATTGGGCTTGAGAAGTGAGCAAGGAACGTGCCATAACATTCCTATGGTTCCTCTGTCCCGGTCTTGCACCACTCTCATATCCATCAATCAATTTCATAGATAGTTACTATGGTTGTTTCTTCCTCCATTCACTAAAGCAAATGGAGCCTTTTCCTCCTCGAGTCAGCAAGCCAACTCGAGTGTTTACCCTCGTGTCACTAGCGCAACACGAGCCATTCAAAAAAAAGTCTTGGAACTGAAGAGAAATCCATCTCTATACAAACTCTTTATGTTATTGATATTGATTGAGTTACGAGAATGAAGAAGCGTAGCACACCTTTTCTCTCAATTCAAGTTTCCATTCAATAAGTGCATCAAGTATTTCGTATAGAAAGAAAAGGAACCACTTCTCTTCTCTTAAGTATATGAAAAATAGCTTTTTGGTCCCTTTCGTCCAGAGGTTAGGACATCGTCTTTTCATGTCGAAGACACGGGTTCGATTCACGTAAGGGATGGGTACTTATTCCCGACCGGCGGTATCAAGAACCCGGATAGTCGGTAGGAAACTCCAATCTGCAAGCGGAACAACGAGTTTAGAAGGCACGTTCTTGAAAGAGTAGGCTGACTATGAAACTCATATAAGGCTCGCGATCGGGTGCATTGTTGACTAGGGGGCGGTTCCATAGGCGGCTACTCTAAGACGGATCAAGTTGGGCTATATATTATGGCAAGTTGACCCTACTTTCCAATTTCATAGATAGAACAGTTCTAGTAGAAGGTTAACCCGGCCTTCCTAAGAGTACTAGGTTAAAGGGGAGACCTCTAAAGCCTAGAAAGAACTATCCTATCCCTTTAGGAATCCAAAAGCGCCGTATATGTGGATCACTGCCGGCTATATTGTCACGCCCAATATGCGACCCTATCCAAAAGGAACTCGAAGGTCCCACCAAGGATAGACCCGCATATTGAAACGCTTTTGCAAGGTGGATATCATTACATCAACATTACATAATAGATGGGGATACATACAAGAGGAATACAATGCCACACGAATACAACATCATCATACATAAGATCAACATCTGTCTATGGATGAAACACAAACAGAAACTCAAATGACATCCACCCTGCTAGCCCAGGCTGCCGACCTGGAACCTATCCCCTGATTGAAGAAGAAGTAGAAGAAGAACTCCAAAACAAGCAAGCATTGCTCTCGCGTCATGATCATCGCATAAACCTGTACCTGCAACTATTGTTGTAGTAATCTGTGAGCCACGAGGACTCAGCAATCCCATTACCATGGGTATCAAGACTAGCAAAGCTTAATGGGAAAGAAAGGGGTAAAGTGGTGAGGTTGCAGCAGCGACTAAGAACAGTATGGTGGCTAGCATACACAAATAAGAGCGAGAAGAGAAGCAAAGGAACGGTCGTGAAGCTAGCAATGATCAAGAGGTGATCCTGAACACCTACTTATGTCAATCATAACCCAAAGACCGTGTTCACTTCCCGGACTCCGCCGAGAAGAGACCATCACGGCTACACACGCGGTTGATGCGTTTTAATTCGGATCTGGTGTCAAGTTATCTACAACCGGACATTAATAAATTCCCATCTGCCCATAACCGCGGGCACGGCTTTCGAAAGTTTATACCCTGCAGGGGTGTCCCAACTTATCCCATGATAAGCTCTCGCGATCAACGAAGGATATTCCTTCTCCCAGGAAGACCCGATCAGACTCGGAGTCCCGGTTTACAAGACATTTCGACAATGGTAAAACAAGACCAGCAAGACCACCCGCTGTGCCGACAAATCCCGATAGGAGCTGCACATATCTCGTTCTCAGGGCACACCGGATAAGCTAAGCATACAGGAACCGACGTAATCCAAGTTGCCAAGGAATGGTCCCGCACGGTGCTCTAGTTTGGACCAACACTCGGAGGAGCACTGGCCCGGGGGGGTAAAATAAAGATGACCCTCGGGCTCCGGAAACCCAAGGGAAAAAGGGCTAGGTGAGGCAAATGGTAAAACCAAGGTTGGGCCTTGCTGGAGGAGTTTTATTCAAAGCGAACTGTCAAGGGGGTCCCGTAAATCACCCAACCGCGTAAGGAACGCAAAGTCTGGGAACATAACACCGGTATGACGGAAACTAGGGCGGCAAGAGTGGAACAAAACACCAGGCATAAGGCCGAGCCTTCCACCCTTTACCAAGTATATAGATGCATTAATTAAATAAGAGATATTGTGATATCCCAACATAATCATGTCCACCATGGAGCAATCTTCAACTTCACCTGCAACTAGCAACGCTATAAGAGGGGCTGAGCAAAAGCGGTAACATAGCCAAGCAAAGGTTTGCTAGGAATGGTGTCAAAGGTTAGAGGTTCATGGCAATTTGGGAGGCTTGAGGAGCAAATGATAGGTAGCGCAGCAAAGCGATAGAACGAAGCAACTAGCATAGCAATGATAGTAGTGAGATCCAGGGTAGCGGTCATCTTGCCTGAAATCCCGCTAGGAAGAAGAACGAGTCCATGAAGAAGACGAACGGGAGTAGTCGAACGAATCCTCACAATCACAACATTACGGGAACTAAGAAGCAACACCAGAAAGAAATAAACAACATGGTAAACACACCACACATAAACAAGACATGATGCACAAAAATCATGATGCATGATGAGGCTACATGAAGCTACTCATGGCAAGTGATGATGCAAACAAGAGCAACACATCAAAGCAAGTTTAAATGAGGCCGGAAACAACACATAACAATTCCGGTTAAGTCCTCATATGCAAATTTCGAAATTGGTCCAGATCTGAATAAACATTATGTTCAAGTTGTTAAACAGCAAGTTAATATGCACCAAGATGATCTACACGAAATTCTAGTCAAGTTACATATAAAGTTCATTTAATTCGGAGCTACGGCCTAGAAGATATGAGCAAAACAAGTTAAACATGGCATTGATGCAAAATGCATACAAACATCAAGCAAACACCTCAAAACAAGGATGCAACATGATAATATGAAACTATATGCAAAATCAAGGATGTTTCATATAGAGCACACTCAAAACGGAGCAACGGTTCAACACATACTCTATACAAGTTATAGCGACAATCTGTCCAAAACAGCAACTAGGCATATTGCAAGCATCAAAACAATATACTGCAGCATCATAATAAGATAACAAAAGGCATGGACATGAAGTACAGGTAAAGCATAACAAAACCTGAACACTGAGCTATCTCCAGAAATCACTAGAACATGCTCAAACACCCATGGAAAGATTGCAAATAATAACAGTTTCAGACTATCAGGAAATAACATCAGGTTGCAATGTTGAGAGCTATCAAACAACATGCTACAGGAACTTAACATGGAAAACAAAGGCATGGCATGAATCTATTAAATGCATAGAACAAAATTCCTTTACTGATCATGAGCCAAAAAGGATCAGAAGATATGATGGCACCCATGTAAACATGGCAAGTTATATGACAGATTCATACATGGCAGGAACAACAATAAGTAGGCATGTTGGTGAGCTTGAACCACTCACCACAGAGCAATACAAGGCATGGCAAAGCAACCAAAAGTAAGAAGACATGCTTATGAAGCCAAGCATGGCAAGGGCAAGTTCATAGGGTGCATGGATAACTAACAACAATCATGGCAACATTGAACTTCATGTTAACATGCTAACAGCAACATCATTTAGCAAGTTTGGAGCATGATATGAACAATCCACAGCAAGCTATAAATGCAACCAGGGGCATGGATGGACAGCTCATAACCATATGTACAAAACATACTTACTGAAGTATCTCAAAATATGCATGTATCTCTCTGTAGCATCAAGTTTACATGGCATAAAAATAACAGCAGAACAGGGACTGAAATCAGCAACATCATGAGGCCTAGTTTACATGCTTGTGCTCGTCACCACATTGATCACAAAAATACATGGCATACACCCCTGGAAAGATGGAACGGCATAGTTCAAAACATATGTAGGGCTCAAGTTCATAAGATGCACACATCAATCATGGAAAAAATGACAAATCATCAAGTTATAACCGTTTCAACAGATTAACAGCAACATGCACTCTTGCAACAATGATTC